ATGTAACCATAAATGTTATAAAAATAGCCAAATTTTAAATTTTATTGACAAAATAAATGTTAAATTAGTGATAAGAGATGAAACAAATCAAACATTACTACTAGAAATAGAGATTCTAGCCTAGCACCTATAAATAAGGAGGTTTGTTAATCTATGGTCTAGCTACCTGATTGATTGACTACAATATTATTTAAATTTGACCATAGTTCTAAAAAGCCTGGTAAAAAAAAAAAGCTACCCATCACAAATTTCCTATCGAATTCAATAAAAGTAATAGCAAAGTGGTATGATATTGCAAATCATAGAAGTATTTCAATTTATTTTTAAAATGTAAGAATATAGTTCATATGGTAGAAGGATTATAAGAGTATGATTTTTCGTTATTTTTTGTTTAATAGTAAAATCATAGTTTATTGATAGAGTATGTGATATGTGATACCCTTTTTGTAAGTTTAAATAATCAAAACGATACGAAATCAAAATAAAAATTAACTGTTATCTTTTTTAAGCGATTATTAAATTTTCATTAATTGATTTTAAATAATTGCTTAGTTAATAATCTATCAAATGGGATACGATTTGTCTAAATTTTTGTGACATTTTTTTAGTATGCAATCAAAGAAGATAAAAAGTGACCCATAAATGGGCACTATTATTTGTTCAAATTTCAATCATCCATTACTATTCTCTATGTTTTATGAATCATTTTACAATCAATTTTTTAAATTCAAATCTTCATATATACACTCAAACTCATACCAAAAGCTAAATATATATATTTTTTATTTTAGGCACAATATATAATATCATCTTTGATATTCGTGTCACTTTTTAATTCATCACTTTATTTATGAACTCTAAACTCTAAAAAATTTCGATTGCATCTCTAGATTTTGAATTTTGATTGTAATAAGTTTTTAACCTTAACATGAAAGGTTGGTTGAAATAACAAAGGATGATTAGCTCTAAATCTTTTTTTTCCTTACCCATCAACAACTTTTTTTTAAGTACATAACATGTGGGTTGGGAGATCAAACTCAGATGTTCGTTTTGACATCTGCAACTTACCTGTTGCAACCTTATGCTAATATTAACATAATTCAAATTCAGTGATAAATGACATATACTCTTTCCGTTGAGATCAGATATTCAAATTTTTATTATACCAAAAAAGTAGGTCTAAATCTTATTTTCCACACATTACAAATATAAAATTAGGGAGGAGAGAGATTGAATTATGAAAAATTGTGTTGGGGTTAGAGAGTAGAGAGTCATAATCAGAGGGAGCAAATCTGGACTCATTAACATTGTCCTGTCCAATGAATTAGGCATCAAGAAATGGTGTTGTTTTGGCCTTATTCAAAATCAAATATCATATATTATATTATATTATATTATTATGCATTTGCCTTTTCATTTCATAATTTGTATTTGAATAATCCCTATTTGCTTGGCCCATCTCTCTATCTTCTTCTTATTCTTTTTTCTCACTCATCCCTCTCTCTCTCTCTTGTTTTCACAAATCACACCCCAAAGCATGTGATTTCTTGGTCAAACCAACTGATGCCATCTTTTATTTTTTTCCCCTTAATCGAACATGATTCATGTTTACATGATGACAACGGGACGGGACAGGGTCGGAGATGCCCTCTTCATTACCTTCAATTTCGAAGAATTTTTAATCATCGATCATACCTCACTTAAATCTCAATTTAAAAAATGGGAGGATACAAGATAGAATGATGGAAAATTTTATAGTATTGCTAAGGTAAAATAAATGATAAGGTAGATTCTATAGAATAAAAAAAATTATTATATTATACAGCTGAATATTAATGGAAGGAGTAGAGTATCCACCATACTAGTATTATATATTTTTTCTAAAATAATTAAAGATGAACCTCAATATTAATCAATGAACCCTTTTAAACTTTATGAATCATTCAAAAGAAAAAGGAGTAAACTTTATAGATAAAATAAGTGTTGGAAAACAATTAGTGATTGAATCAATAATTTTTAGACATTATTATAGGATCTCATCTCTTACCTATTCATTCAACTAAATGAGATAATTTAAAAGTAATACTTATTGCTCTTCTCCTTGTCCAATGTTTGTATCTTTCAATTGCTCTCTTGCTTCTTTTTCCTATTTTTTGGTTCATTTTCAAGTGAATTTTAAATGTTTTTGTGTATGCTCACATTTTATGATTTTTTCCTTTTTTTTTTTTTTGGTCAAAATATGACAAACTTAATTTTGCAGTTGTGAAAGGAGCTTAATCATTCTCTCTTATTCTCATCCTTATTTCCTCTGTCTTAATTGTCATTTTTAATAGTAGTAAGTAGGAAAAGTAAGCACTTGAATTTAATCCATTTTTTCCATTTTTTCATCTTTATTTTTATAATTGATCAAATATTTTATTAATCCTCATTTCAAACATCAGTAATCAATCAGAATAGTGATTCATTCAAATTGATTTTTATTCTCATTCACAATGTACTCGTTCCTATACCCCAAGTAAACAAGACCGAGTTATCACCCGATCACTCGGGACCCGCTTTCGCACCCCATATATTTCAATGCGACAGAGAGAGATGTATATATATATATTACACCTGTGAAGAGAGAGAGAGGTGAGGATGGAGACATGTGAAAAGTAGTGCATAGACAGAAGACAACACAGGGTTTATGCCTGTAGTTTGTTGAATACAGAAATAAATGAGGAAAAGCCTCACACCTCAGAGACTCAGACAAGCAGGACTTGACAATGGTCATTGTCTTCTAACGTTTGTAAGATAACGTTAAATCATTCAAACCAACAAACACTTCATTGTTCAGTTCAGACATTTCCCCAATCAAAATTCATCTCCATTTCCTTCCAATAATACAAAACCAAAACACATCCATAAAACTCTCCTCCACTCATAAAAAGAAACCATTTTCTTCACCAAATCATCCAAATTGACTCCACTTCTTACACATAAACAGCAATTTCAACATCAGATTCAATCCTTCAACCAATAAAAGCACAAGGGCAGATCAGATCACTTTCACTCCTGGCCGTGCCCATAGCCAGCCTGGTTCCAAGCAATCCATCTATCTACTTTCTATAGCATTTAATAGGAAAAAAACATATAGAAGAGGGTGGTTGTAGCCGAACAGGTTCAGTGTTAAGCTAAGTGAATGGATGAGTCAGTTCAATGTGGGAGGTGGATGACATATATTCATAATAGTTGAAAGATCAATGCCTATTCATAGAGAAAACCACTAATTCTAAAATTAGACAGAAGAATAACACAAGTAGGAAAACTTGAAATTCCATCTCAATTCACCAAGTCTGTCAACTGATTATGACAACCATATTTAGCTTTATAATCGTAATAACACAAGTCTCGGAGTCGTGCCTGCTGCTTTTCTTCTTCTTTTCTTTTTCTTCCTCCCCTGCAACTATCTCCAACTTTCGGATCCTAAATTCAAACCCTTGCCCTCTTGTTACTGCAACTTGGACACTTGTATTGCTTGATATGCTCAGCCTTCGCAGGTGTAATCTTCACACATTTTCCATGGAACCATCTTTCACACGCATCACAACAAATCCAGAATTCGTCGTTGCCGTAATTGTCCCCACAAGCCCCACATGTTGCGCCCTGTTCATCATCTTCTTCTTCCTCTTCATCTTCCCCACTATCTTCATCCTCTTTTGGTGGTGGAGACATCTTCACTCCCTTGCCATGGGGTTCCACCAATTGCCGGGACTGCCGTAAGATAGTAAACAACAGCAAGATTGTATGCCGTGAGGTTGCAGCAAGACGATAGAAATTAGAAAGTGAGAACAAGGTTGAATTAATTACAAATTTCGGAAATTGCTTACCATCTTCCCACTCGACTTGCTTTTGCTGCTATTGTTA